CACACACACACACACACACACACACACACACACACACACACACACACACACATATTGTAGAGAGCTAGGACTGGTGAGTTTTGGCCGAGGGAAAAGGCTTCTTAGAGGATTAAGAGAAAATAGCAACTACTTAAAATGTACTAAGTACAGTGACACAAGGTCATTAGTGCTTTTTGTTGTTGTTATTGATCCTAAAACATATGTTGCTTGCTGTAAAGCCCACCTTTAGTCTTCCTGCCTCTGCCTCCGGAGTGCTGGTATTACAGGTATGTACCACAGTGCCTGGCCAAGTTATCACTTCTTCAGAAACAAAATTCAGCCCCCAAGTAGTTAAAAGCCCTGTAGAGCTGTGTGACTCCAGCAGAACCTTCATGCACATGGGTGTCCATTGCAGGCAGTGTCTGCCTGGGCTGACAAAGCCCTAACTGCAGATTTTCTCCAGCGATAGATCGAGAGGCAACACTGGGTGATATGATTATAACTGGAGAAAGATGTGGCTCCCAAAGGCAAACCATGCTAGGAATGGCCCTCCCTGACAGCTCTGTGGACAACACATGTTCCTCCCTCCAAGGAGATCACGAGCACTGTCAGCCTAAGACAGCACGTCTCTGGTCATAGAAACAGAACTCCAGTCCGATGGGCAGAGGGCAGAGTATTGTCTACTCCACTCATCCAGGGCTAGCTCCTACTTTTTCACAGTTGGAGTTTTTAGTTGCTTTACAATAAAATTTAAAAGAAATACCTAGGGAGACCGGAGAGATGGCTCAGCAATTCAGAGCACTGGCTGCACTTGCTGAGAACTGGGGTTCGATTCCCAGCACCCATATGGTGGCTTATAACCATCTGTCACCCCATTTCCATGGGATTCGCTGCCCTCTTCTGGCCTCTGCAGGCATCAGGCATGCATCTTGTACACACAAACTAAAAATGAATTAAGAAGAAAGAAATCTCTAGGCAAGCCAAAGAGTTGTGACTAGAAGTGGATGCTGGGGAGATGGATCCTTGGGTCAAGTGTCTGCCACAGCAGCACTAGTACCTGAGTTCAGATCCCTAGCACCCACATAAAAGCTGGGTGTGGTTGACACAGTTGTAACTCTGACACTGGCTGGGGTGGGAGTGTAGAGACAGGCAGACTCCTGGAGTTCACAGATGAGCCAGTCTAATAGTAAGAGACTTGTCTCAAAAGATAAGGAAGATGTAAAGGGATGGTGGGAGACATCCATCATCAACCTCTGACCTCCATATGCATGCATAAACATATCACACACACACACACAGACACACACACACACACAATCTTAGCCTAGACTGGCAAGTCTAATCCAAGGCAATGTGGAAACAAACCAAAGAAAATCGCTTGTTATAAGGATAAAATAAAACAGGCGCCATGGTTGCATGCTCTCTGATGTTTGACTAGGACCCTGGTCTGTTCCACCTTTGTTCAGCCAGTGTCTCCTGATGCAGCTGTGTTCTGGGCATGTGCGACATTCTAGATTGAGTCTCCTACCTCCCTACCACAGAAGAACTATCCCTAAGCATCAGTCAGCCCCTTACACTTGGTGGAAAATTAGCCAATTGGGAAAATTGATATTGTCATTTACTCGTGGCTGTGGTTTTAATGAAAGTCACTTTATTTTTTTTTAGGGAGAAGAAAATGACTTTCCAGACAGCACTGGAGATCCCCTTTCAGGTAAAGAGTTGGTCTTGCATCAGCAGAAGCTGGGCAGATACATTAAAGTTATTCAGTGAATGTTTGTCTCATTAGTGTGTTATGTGTGTGGCTTCATAGCTATTTGACAATCTCCAGTTAGCTTTCATCCATGTTGATAAGAGCATGCATGTATGTCTGTGTGTGTGTGTGTAGGTGTATACCTTAATTTTTTAGGTAACTCTCACCAGGACCTGGAGATCTCTGATGAGGCTAAGCTACTAGCTGACCAAGTCTCCTCTCTTTGCCTTTCCAAGACCAGGACCACAGGCGTATGCTAGCACGTCTGATTGTTTATGTAGGCTCTAGGGATGAACCTTGAATGCGTGTACAACTAAATGCACATCTAAGAGCTTTACTGAATGAGCTATCTCTCCAACTCAATAGTAATCTTATTTTTTAAACAGTAGCACATGCTTACATAACTGAAGCCTAGAGCTTGCTTAGTGACCTTCATCCTTGCTATGTTTTCTGGGTGGAGTAGGGGACCCAAACATCTCTGTGGAGCCTGGTATCAATACACACATTTGGAACACCATCTTTTTCCCAATCTTTCTGAGTGCCTGAGAGCACATTCACTTATTAAATGTGTTTTGATGTTGAATTCCCTGTCACTTCCATATAATCCCTCTGAAAGTCCCAAGTGACACCAAAGAGGGCAAAGGATTGTGGGAGGGAACAGCCTACTCTAACAGTATACAAACCTGCATGCAGAACAGAGTAACTTTCCATCCTAACTTGACCAACTACACAACAAAATATGTCTTCCTCCAACTCTCCCCCACCCACCCCAGTACAGTGTTGGGAAAGGAACCCAGGACCTTCATTATGGGTTAAGCCACTGCTCTGCCACCAAGCTACATCCTGAAAAAGTCCTGAAAAAGTTTAGAGAGGCTTTTCTCTGACCTGACCCCACCTCCTTTGTCTATGAAGGGTGGATCTGCAAGTTTAATATTTGGGCCACCATCAGAACCTTGCATACTTCTTGTGTTGACGGCTATTCCCGTATCCTGAGACAGCGTCCATCTCAGCTGAACATCTGAAATCTCTGAGGGAACTGTGAAAAACCCCCATGCCCTGCTGCCACTCCACACTGGTTAAAATGTGACCTTGGTGGCTGGCCCAGATGTGAGGAGGATTTTCCCCAGGGGTTGGAGGAGGTCAGTGGATTCCAGCCCCAGTGAAGTTGAAGAACAATTGCTTCTTGAGAGCCGTTATCCCACACTCACGGCTGTCCACTGTGTATTGGCTGTGCAGTAGGAGGAGGCTTTAATGGGTGTCTTTAACCCTTGACGGTACCTTTGAGATCAATGTCATTACCTGTGTTCACAGAGTGAGACTGGCTTAGCATACTCACTCACCGTCCAAACCACACACCTTTGCAGAAGGTGACCTGCCTTGCCACAGGGAGCCTTCTCTATAATAAGGCTTTCTCCTCTATTTCTTTCTGGGTCACACATGGCCCAAGCCAGCCTTGAGTTAGCTGTGAGCTGAGCATGTCCCTGAATGTCTCATCCTCCTATCTCCACCTCAGTGCTAGGCTTGACAGGCGTACACTAGTTTTATGCAGTGCTAAGAGTTGCATCCCGGCCTTCAAATATGCTGTGCGAGTGCTCTACCCACTGAGCCACATCTCCATTCCTTTGCTTAGAAGTGACCGATAGGACAAGAGTTATTAATGCATCTAAGTGAATTTTTATAGAGGGTTGGCTATTTTTCAATCATCTCCTCTCTTTCTAGATCTAGAATTGGCCCACAATGTAGCATTTGGAGACCAAGTCTGTACTGTTTTCCAACACTGTGTACTTCCTGTGGATGGCAGCTGCCTTCCTCTTTCCTCACTGACACTGCTAAAGTGCAGTTGGGAGAAGTGACTCATGGAGTTGTATCTCCTTCCCTGGGGAAGTAGAGTCTGTGTGTATCTACCTATTTGGCAAATGCATCTTTAATTTCTTTTCTAAAAATATTATTTTTAATTATATGTCTGCATGTGGCACTGTGGGGCTATGTGCATGTGAATGCAAGTATCCGAGGAGACAGAAGAGGGCCTGGGATCCCTGGAGCTAGAGTTACAGGTGTTTGTGAATACTCTTAACTGCTGAGCCAACTCACCAGCCCCTACTTTTTTTTTTTTTTTTTCGAGACAGTGTTTCTCTGTATAGCCCTGGCTGTCCTGGGACCCACCCTGTAGACCAGGCTGGCCTTGAACTCAGAAATCCACCTGCCTCTGCCTCCCAAGTGCTGGGATTAAAGGCATGCACCACCACTGCCCAGCCAGCCCCTACATTTTTTTTGGGGTTTTTTTTGTTGTTGTTGTTTTTTTTTATTTGGGTTTTTTTTGGGGGGTGGGGGGTTTCAAAACAGGGTTTCTCTGCATAGCCTTGGCTGTCCTTGAACTCATCCTGTAGACCAGGCTAGCCTTGAACTCAGAAATTCGCCTGCCTCTGCCTCCCAAGTGCTGGGATTAAAGGCGTGTGCCACCACCACCCGGCCAGCCCCTACATTTTTAATGTCCAGAGAGAATTTGGCATTGGAGGAAGGGCTAGTTCCTGGTCATTACAGTAACTGTCATTTACCAGTGTCTCCTGTTTCCCCAGGGCTCATCACCTAAGAGGTACTGAATCATGATCTAATCTCCCCTCGTGTTTGCTATGTTCTCTTAAGAGAAAGATGTCTTTCTCCAGAAAGACATCTCAAAGTTTGCCCTTTGGTAAATAATACTGCATGAGATATGAGAAATATAGAAAGTAGTTAAAGTTTATGATTCTCTTTTCAATTCCTTAGCAGAGTCTTTCTTTCTATGTAGTCTTGGCTGTCCTGGAACTCCCTATGTAGACTAGGCTGGCCTAGGACTCAGAGACCTATCTCTGCCTCTAAGTGTTGGGATTAAAGGTGTGTGCCACCACGCCTGGCATAGCTTGTAATTTTAATAGTTTGAAATCTTCTTGGTAAGCAACACATATAGATTCCAGTGTTGCCTTTCCATCTTAATTATAGAGGCAACTCTTTCAATCAAACCCTAATCTTGTTTGTTTGTTTTTCCAGACAGGGTTTCTCTGTATAGCCCGGGTTGTCCTGGAACTCACTCTGTAGACCAGGCTAGCCTCGAACTCAGAAATCTGCCTGCCTCTGCCTCCCAAGTGCTGGGATTAAAGGCGTGCGCCACCACCGCCCGGCCTTCAAACCCTAATCTTTCCTGCCAGCTTGCTCTGTGCATCCTGTCTCTACCTTCTGAGGCTGGAGTTACAGTTGGGCTATCACAGAGCATTTGCAAGGGTTCTGGGGTCTGAAC